TATTAATTGGTGACAAATCATTACTATTTATTGAAAATAAGTTACTTGTCTATAAACAAGTACTCCGACAACTAGAACTCGGTCAACGCATAAACATTAAAAGCTGCAGCAGCATATTAAAGCTGGTTGCTCAAATAGCTCGACTACGAAGACGCCTCGAAGTGTGATCCATTTCGATGCCCATTCTATTTTTAAACACAGAAGCTTCAATTTTAATGCGAATGAACATTCTATGGCATTCATTTTTTGAATATTATCTCTTACCTATGTAGGCTGTGGCTACATCTCAGATAGTCCATCCGTTGAGTCCAATTTTCAATGACTTATTCCAGCATTTCGATTGATAACACCCGTGATGTTCTGCTCAAAGACCTGAATGAAAGCGAGATTGTCCATATAAACTTTAAACTTTACATATCCTCACAGGAAAAAGTCTAACTGTGAGATATAACACGATCCATTCGATCGGCTCAAAGCGGTAAAACGAATATTGCGCCCAGTAGGCCTATGTATGTTGCCCATAAATTGAAACGCGGAAACACATGAACTATTTGTAAACAATGTTCAGGCATAAGTCTTCCATTATGGAATGCCAAACGATGCTGAACAAAGCAACATGACAGCTAGACACCCCTCATGCGTGATCTGTCAAAAACATGCAAGTTTAAGGTGACATAAACAACCGTTAGGTGAACAAAACTATTATACTCTGTATCAACATGAAGCGAGAGTATAAAAATTGCACACTTTGCCGAACTCGCTATCGGAAACTGCTAGCTTATCATAGGTATCGCCAATTTAATTGTATTTCCACTTTTTCGTAGTTCTTGTCAACATTTTTCTCTTAAGATTAGTGATAAATTTTGAAAGGAGGTAATTTCCAAAGATAGTTTGAAAGACTCCACACAATAAAAATCGTACTTACTACTTTTGTAACGGTCAGCATAATTTATTTGAGGACGTTTCTCACAACGGTGTAGCGGAAATTTTCCGCATCTCATATAAGAATGTTAGATAGGTTGTAGCGTGAACGTCAAAATGAAGATTGAGCTTATACCAGTTATATCAAAAAGGGGCCACTTTATGCACGAACGGGTTTCAAAGTGGTTTCCTCGCGAAGTCAAAACATTGTGTAAATCTCTCACCGTTCCCATTCAAAGACATAGTAATCATTTGTGAGTGACAAACTCCCATGAGTTGGCTCTCGAAATGTTTACAAAAGATTTGGTAGTAGCAAAATAATGATTGAACTTCTATGCACATAAACACAAAATAGTGGAACAAATTGGCTTTCTTGGTGCTTCGCGGAGCGATTAATTAACTCCGAAGGTTATTGTACCATTTGATAAAACTCTTCAGGCAGCCAAGAGAGGACGCGGCAAAACTTCAATACAACGAATATTTGAAGTATTTCGAAGAAGAAGTACTGCTGACACCATAAAGATTGCACGCGAAAGATAGACGTGCTAAATTTAATTAATAGAGGTAGAACTATAAAGCTGAAAATACGAAAACGATCTACTCATACAATTTGAGTAAATGAAATACCTTAGAGAAATTCCTATTTGGTGTCGCTGTCGAAAATTCACTACAAGACTCATATGCCTTTGCGGTTAGGTTTCATTGAAATTCAAACGTATTCCTACCCCCACATTCGGCGTAATAATGCTGATTTCGCTCGCGGCAATAGGACAAATGCAATTGTCATAGGTCACTCGTGGTTTATTTGTCTACCCACTTTTATTCATAAGCACCGCGTCTGCATTGTGTATAACATTACTGTACACCGTCTTTTATTTTATTTATAAGCCAAGCATGAGCGCGTCTGTCCTTTCTATGACTCTTCCACTCGTGTTGTGCGTTAGCCTCCATTATTTCGCTCTTGTTACTCTGTCTCACATTCTTGGATATTTGCCTTCCATTGGGAGTTATGCATGTCTGGTGCTGTTTGTGAAATGCTTTGTTGGTCACGAGGATTTGCGTTAGCACAAATCCACTTGCGCACACACTTACCCACCCGTGTATTCAGTGAGATTTAGTTGAGTGGTGTCAAGTCGGCAAATGGGCTGAGGTCAGGAATGAACGCTCCGCTGGCATATTGTGTAGTGTGGCGCGAAATGTAGCTGACATGTACAGAAACCAACTTGCTCAAATACACAAAGGCTATGGAAATACCCTGTAGGAAAAAGTTGGTCTAGTGAAATGCCAATAAATATTAGGTAGATCATCATGTGCCATGGCAAATAAAGAACTGGCAATATATTCGACCATCTTTAAGGGTTCGATTAGGCACCTGTTACTATAAATGTGCTTATGTATGATTTTAAAATAGAGACTTTGTCTTTTCTCGAGACAACTAGCGAATATGAATTTTTTGTAATTACTTCAGTTAGATTCTACTTTCTATCAAATTAATTGCTAAACAAATATTTTTTATTACTTCTAATGATTCCACACAGTCTTACACTAGTTTTAGCAACTAGATCGCAGACGTTTTTAACTGTCTCATAAATTATGAATATAAGCGGAACTAGAAAAATCATAATTAAATCATAATTAAATAAAGACTGTAAAACAATAGTCCCGCTCTTTCAATTGCCACTCATTATGTGCGCTCTCTTTTACAACTGACTCTTTTCCCTACAAGTGCACTATTCCAAGTAAGGCACGTGTTATCACAGATGAAAGAAAAATCTCTAATACATAAGCGTGTAGAATATGAGTATATAAATATGTCCGTGAAGCACACGGGATATTAAAAAAAAAAAATTGCAGAAGAAGCTGTTGCTTTGAGAAATGATGTTGTTGACAGCAGTTGATGCCAGTGGCACCTGTTGCAACCACTAGTGATTTGCTCTTTATTGCGCAAATATTGGGATTATTTATTATTTCAATACACCAATCTATCGGATAAGAATTGGATACATTTAATGTAACATATTCGCAAAAATATGTGTATATGTGTACAGTGTGTAGTGACAGTTGCTGCTAAGAACTCTTTGCGCTGTTAATGGTGAATTTTACCAAAATAAACCTTAGGTATAGTGTAATGTGATACAGTCAGTGTAATGCAACAGTATTAATCTTTTAACGGACTGTACTAAGAGCTAAAATCATAAAGGTAATGAAATATTTGTGTATAGACCTAATGCAAAGCAATATGGCTCGGTCACCTTCTTTTAAAATTATTTATATTTTATTTACGTTTGTTTTCCTTAAGCAATTAGGACTAAAACTTTGCTTTCGCCGTGTTTTTTTTTCTGGTTTTCCCTTATTCCCTCAACAAGCAATACTTAATTAACACACGAAATGCTTTATGATCCATTTTTTGTAAACTAACACAAGTTGCTTTACAAAAATTCTATATTTTTTAAGACCTAATAGAAATCATATAGGTGGTAGTAGTAGAGTAATAGTATTATCTATATATGTATGTGTCAGCCTCAGGCGTGGACGGGTCGTCAGCCGCTTTTTCAATTAAAAAGGAAAAGCAAAATTTCCCGCAAATGTCGAGAATTCGACTCAAAAGGTGAAATTTTCAGTTAAGAATAAGTTGGGATGCAAACAGATCTCTACAAATATTTTGTTGGGTTAATGTTGACAAAAATGTCCAAGATCGATATTAAACGATTTAATCGACCAGTGCTCGACCCTAGAGACATCTATTGGAAAACGTAGCCCACTGTGCCATATTTATTTACACAATCATTGTATATTTTATGAAATGCATTAAAATAATTAATCGTCTTTATTCGACATGAAAAATTGAGTTGTATAACCTGCAGTGATGAGACATCACAATGTAAGGCTCCGAAAACATTTCACTAAGACAGTCACTGCCCTTTATATGAGGGTGTAGTCATGTGATTAATTTATTTCGCGCATACAATTTTTATATTGATTAATGATTTGAGTGAATGATGATAAAGGACAATATATTATTACGATATTAATACTCACATACCCAAATTGAATTAAGCAAGTGTGCGTGATAATCGCCCTTGACTTTTTGGTCATCATATACTTTCGTTCAAACTTTAAGCTACCAACTAGTGAAAATCTTGAATTAAAGACAAACTCTTTAAATGCTAAAGAGAAGACTTCAAATATTTTCAAAATGAAAATGTTTTGTGTATCAAAAATTATTGACACCTTTAACCAAAGCCATAATATTAAACCCTTTTCGATTTTTTTTTTATATTCCTCCAAGGGTAGTTGCATTCCATCGATGTATGTAATTATACCTAACTTTCAAAAAATTAAAATTCAGCAGATTATTTCGGAAAAAGTTATAGTTTTGAATTCAGTTGTTAATGAGACATTGTTTATGCCAAAGAGGCGGGCGAAAATTTTAGAAGCATCAAAATATTAAAATAAATTGATCGGATTATCTGAGGAAAGTTTTGGAAGTATGATTCCTGAATATTTGCGTACTCGATATATTTATGCAATCTTGGTGAAACGCAAGCTCACAACTAACTCACTATGTCCCAAATCAATGAAATAAATACATTAAGAAGATATACATGTCGCACTATAAAAATAAGATAGTTAAAAGTAGAGTAATCATTATTCTTAAAACAAAAATAGTAAAATTAAGTTTTGGCATAGAATTTTATCCAAATATATTTTACATTATCTGACTATAGGCACGAGATAATAGATAACACTCAAATTTGATAACCGTTTAGCTTTTGGCGTCAAAATATTAAATTTAATCTAGTTCTAAAAAGTCTATAAATCTTTTATATTAAGGAACATACGTATTCTGTATCGATTATTTTTCTGGGTTAAAAAACCAATAAATAACTAGTTAGATTTCAAACAAACAAATAGTATTGATGAGTCCACTAAACCTTTAAAGATGAAAACGAGTCAGATAACTTCTTTCGATTGAAGTTTACAATAGTGAACTTAATCCCCTTTATAAACATATGAACATACAACGATTTATAAATTCTATAAATCTCATAAGGTTATCACTTGGTTTTCCCTTGCAGGTACTCGCCATGTGGGGTGTTTTGCGATTCTACAACTTGGTACGTTCAGGCATCACATGGAAGGGCCCCGAGGTAATTGAACTAAGATATAACGGCAACGACTCTCACCAAGTCGAAACACGCCTGCCAAGTAGTCACACATATCACCTCTCCTCCCATTACCAATCGCAGGCAAAAACCACTGCGTCGGCAGCAGCGACGACGGAATATCATCACTGTAACGGCGGCAGCGACAGCAAACAGAGTCGCCTCAACTACGTGCCCGATGTGCAGCGTAAACCGACCGGCTGTTGCTTCTTCGACTTCGACGATTACGATGAGGATGACGATGACGAGGAACTGGAGTGCGGCGATGATGATTACGATTATGACGACTACTACTATGACGATGACGATGAGGATAGCTCCGATTGCACGATGCTCGGCGCCATATCAATGCATCAGAAACGTCAGTACCACCGCACACTGCGGCCGTCTCACCTACACGTACACACACACGCATCGCGACCACGCAACAACAACATACGCACTGTGTTGATAAACAAACGGCATCACAAGTACAAAATCGCACAGCCGCAGACACGACTCGAGGTGATCAACGAGTCGGAGCGTAGCGCGGGCAGCGGCAGTGACGAGAACGATTCGTTGCTGGTCGCTTATGATAGCACATCATCGCTGGCGTCGGTTTGACATTGGCCGGCGTGCGGTTGTAGTTGCTTTGGAAATGCGCGAAAGAACGATGGAAGCGGCAGCGGCAATAGAGCTTGCGACGTCGGCGATAATGAAGCGGCAACCGCGACAGCCGACGGCGAAGCGGCCGAATTGCAGCAATTACAGTTGCAAATTTGGCAGCAGCAATGGCTACGACGACAGCAGCGACGTCAACGCAAGTGGCAACGCAAGTTTCAGCGTCAGCGCCGATGTCCATTACGACGAGTCAACAGCGCTGTGAATATAGCGATAATGGTGCTGCTGGTTGTAATCGAGATATACGCACAAGTTTCAGTACTTTTGTAGAGAGTATTGTGCATACATAAGTGTTTGGAATTTTGTGAGCTTCCATTTATTCATGATATACGCATTTTTTAGGCATTAACTACCTATTAATTAGCAGTCTTCGATCGAGATTTATAGCTTTTGCAAATGTAATCAAGTAAAGCGCGAATAAGCTACGGGTTACTGTTCCCTCTTTCTGTTTCTAACGCTGCTCAACTACTTGTAAAACGGTACATTTGTTCAAATTGCGATGAAGGAATATCAAATTGTTCCATGCTACCGCTCTTATCTCTATTCATCCGAACAATCCGCGTTTTTTATATCTTCAGTCTCAAATATCGATGAATTTTACGAGCTGTTTCAAAAGGAGGAAACAGGAGCGACAGGCATCAATCGGTCGCGGCCAAACCATCATTGAGCTCTCAAGAGATTTCTAGCACTATTTAGTAACTCAGTAGATTCGATGAAACTTCTTAGCTTTTCCGTGTCCGGCACCTTATAATTATGCTTTACATTCTGCCGTCAACCATTTTTAAAAGCTCTAACTTAGACAATATTTTCATCGGATGAACTATGCGTTTCAATATGTGCTTTACAAAGATGAAAATTAATATTCTCACCATCATGCTACGTAAAATATTACATGTTTATGAAAAAAGTCTCAAAATTCAAAAGGCAGTTACAGTTTGTTCGCTCATTTTTTTGAACTCTACGGAAGTTCTGTTCACGAAACTTATTTCTAGTCATCTGAAGTAAGGGGAGCTATAATCCATGTTGGATCTTTCACTTGACTTTTCCAATGTAACCACCACCCAATCTAATAAGGCCTTTTGAAAATGGATTTTCTGTGTTATTTGCTTATTGCATAATCCAAAAACAGTTGCTAATGGTGGGAATTTAATATGAACAGCACCTTTAATACCATACCTCAAACAATTGAGCATTCGCAAACTTTATTATTTTACTGATACTACTTCCATCTGTGTTCTTAGTATATCTTAGAGAACTTCCTTTCGAGAAATTCAAATTTATCTCTCTGAGTTGGATCAAAGGTTGATATAATTGATCTCAAAATTGGTTCTACATAAATCCAAAACTAAACCCTCACATTGCTTAGTTTTCAGTTAAAGTAAAACTCTAAACTGAACCATTTCATGCACGTATGTCATACTTTCCTTAAATAATTTATTTTTTGGCTATTATTAAACTCATAACTTGAAGAAAGATAAGCTAGGCGCTATTGAAATTATGGTGTACTTTTACGTACTTCCGTTGCGAGCTTTTCGGATTTCCTTCACAACTTTAATGGCTTTTGTTGGCACCAGTTCCACTCCATACCACCGGACTGCGCACAGTTACACATACACATTATTTGTTAAATCCACAAATATTCTATTAAGTTATTAATGGAGGGTTGAGTTAAGAAGGATCTTATTTTAACAGTTTACTGGAAATATGAAGCAAAATTCAGCTAAACACGCACAAAAGCAATCTTCTGGCGAACTTCATTTTACACTTCCATTTTTATTTTTATTAGGAAATAAATTAAATATTTAAGTAGTAACCTGAAACACAGCAGGAAATATACCGTTAACGAGTAAAAAAGTTTTGCTCACAATCACCAATGGGACCATAGCTGGAAACTGAAGTTCAGAGCTCGCCAACTTCAAAGCAATATTCTCGAAGGCTTGATTAATTTTTCCGGCACTTTCGGTTCAAAGTAACTGTAATATTTAAAGTGATCTAAGCATGGACACTAAACTATGATATTTATGGAAAACGAGACCACTAAATAAGGAAAAGAAACAGTTATTAAAGCATATGAAGTTTTTAGAATATCAAATTTGTGTCAGAATGTCGGGATATAGTATTTCTTTTCAAATATGTAAGGCTTGTGTAATTGCACTTTTTATCAGAAATGTCTTTAAAGAACTTATATGGGATTTAGGAAAAGAGCCTGGGATCGTCAGGAACAGGGAACTGAGGAAAATGAAGAAATACACACTTTGTTCCGGAGAAACGATGTTATTTTATATAGAAAATATTATTAAATGGTAAACCTTTTCGTCAAAATTTTACCTATGTGTAGGATATAAACAGTCCCGCGAACTTAACCGTAGTTAGCTAGCAACTAGCGATTTTTCAACTTTAATCTCAGCACATCTCTTTTCTCCTCTCCAACTTTCATTATTCAACTCTCCATTAAATTTGACTTTGGAACTATTTAATATTCAAAAGCCGCCTCCACGAAATGCTGGTATTAACCAGCGAGCAAGTGGACGAAAGACCTTCTCTTGAAACACCAGTTATGTTGTTGCTGGCGAGCTTGGTTGGCATATTCTTATATCCTGCTGTATGGTTAATTGTTGTAAGGGCGAAAAGCGGTGCGTTTAATTGCTAATATTCGACAGTGTTGCATGAATTACAATGAGGCATATGATGCGACCGGCGGATTGCCTTCAGCTGCTTACTCTTGTTGGGCAGAACTGAGCAAAATTTCGCAACAAGAATGGTGATTACGAGCAGATTGCTTTTATGACTCTATACTAGAGAACCAAAGTTTGAATGTAATTTATGAAATCGTGTGAAACAAAGTGAATGTGCTGGGAGTCGCATTGCTAGAATACTTATTGTTTAAGCAATACTATACCGTTATGTTTTGTTGACGTCAAACAAAGCAAAAACAGTGAGAGTTATCAAACAAAGCTTATAAGATTTGTGTACAACATAGTTTCTAGATTAAAACACAATAAATATACATCATACATACATACATACATTAATATGAGGTTCGAAAAAGGAGAAGCAAAATGTACTGTCGCAGGACAATAGCAGTAAAACAAATAAGCATTAACACCATGTAATAGTTGTAATTGTAACTTATGTAATTATGTATGTCCTTGCATGTACATATGTATATATAATGTTATATATAGATATATAAAAAATATGGCTCCAAGCACATTACAGATGTTAGCAAGCTTAGAGTACGTAGCAAATAATCTAAATTTAGTTAGCTCCCATTAGCGTGTAAACTGAGGAAAAAGCGAGCTAAGTTACTGTGATTTGGCTTTATAGAATTATAAAACGGTCAACGTCAAAGAGGTCAAAGAGCGTTCCGCGGCTGAGTTTAGTTTTCAAAATAGCCTCACAGCCATTTTTGAACTCTATTTTAAAGACTTGATCTGAAGCATTCATCATAAGCACAGATAGTTGATATTAAAAAAATATACTTTTTTCAGATTTCGTTAGGTCATAACTTTAACAATAAATTACTTAAAACCGATATTCCAAATAGTTTTTGAGTTACAGCGTTCTGAAGTTTTTCAAATTTTCTAGAGTGATTACACGATCCACTAAGTTGTTTTAGTATGCTCTATACGTAGCCAAAATTAGTTTGGGAGGGTCAAAAACGACGAAATTTTTGCGTAAACCTCAAATCATTCAGCGAATACATAGCTCAAAAAATTTGTTTGTGTATTCTTAAAATATGTGCATGTGTATGTGTATTCTCAAAAATCACATTTTTATTCTGTCATACTTGATATGTCCCGGAATTAGGTCCATTTCGATTCTTTTTCGGCAAAATATAAGCGCATTTTTACAACCAGTGATAAGAATCTTTCGAATATTTCTGCTACTTAAAGGCCTCTTATAAAATCCGCTATTCACTTGGTTTGACAGGAAAACACACCCAGCAGGAGAAGCTATGCTTAAGTACTCGCGAAGATACATGCAGAAAATACGACTAGACTTGATCACGAAAAGTGCGCCTCAATAAAGTGAAGGTTACACATATTATATGACTTCTTGTAGTATTCTAATAGAGCTCCTTAGGACTTAGGGGATTTATAATGTCGCAGGAAATCAAAAAGTCAGATCTTTAGTTCAAAATTATAAATTTTACAGAGCAGAGCTTTCAACAAGCCATTGCATAGTAGGGAGTTCTATTTGTCCGCATTGAGGCGTTTGCGTGGGAACATCCATCGAAATCGAATGGAGTTGTGGGAGAACAGTTCAGCGATTGCATACGAAGATAATGCACCATCGCATCGAGTCACTATTTTCTCCGAATTTAAAGCCAAAAATGCAATGAATACAATCGATCAACCACCGTATTCATCATATTTGGTTCCGTGTGATTTTTTCTCGCTTTGCAAACTGAAATTGTCGCTCTGGGTTCCACAATCAGATTCAGTCGATCGAAGAGATCAACCAAAATTTACTGAATGAGCTGAAGGCCATCGCAAAAAGTGCTTTAGAAAAGTGTTTCAAGGACTAGCATAAGCGTATTACATCTGGTCGGGATTACTTTGAAGATGATGAAATAAAAATTGATGAATAATTAAATATTTTTTTATTTACAATTCCAAGTAATTTTTGTCGCAATATAAGCAACATTTGATTGATATTTTGGGATTTTGAGTGGGTTTCGTAGAAATTAGGCACGAATGTCACCTTCCGTTTTTTGTCTGCGCTTGAGTTTTTGGGGGTTCACTTAAGTTGATATACATGTAATACGTATATACAGTAGCGTGCATAACTAAGCAAATGAGCCTCATACCGCATTTATGAAAATAAATTGGAATGACCACTTAGAAAACGAAATCTTTGCAATGCTGCATTTACTCAGAATTACACGTTTTGTACATTCGAAAAAAAAAAAAACGATCGCGTGATCAACATAACGGGGATTTGCCTCTATTTCTACCAACACCAAAGCGAGATAGTTGGATAAAAATCAGTACAGTATTCTTCATTTATCTCATTCTGAATGTGGGCAGTATTCAATTCATATTTCATGAGCCGTGCTTTCTTTTTGCCATCTGGAGCCTTCTTTCTCTTTATTGGCGTTGGTATCTTCTGAAGCCACAGAACCTACATAAATAAAATCGGCTCAATATCACATACACAAAAATACGTTAAATTTT